TGTCTAAACCAGCATTTTTAGTTCCCAAGTTTCTTGGCAGCATAGAGATTTGGTAATCTTATTAGCAATAATGCCTTAACAACTTTCTTGTGACTTAACTCCTAAATCTTCCTACCAGTCATGCAAGTCTATGTCTGCCAGACTAGCTAGGATCTGTCGTGACTTTTTTGTTTTCTTTTTAATTAGATTTGAGTAAGAATGTGGTGTATAATTAACACAACTCTATGCACTGCTGAAAGTAGATGCATTTTGAACCTTACAAAAGCTTTTTCAGAAAGTTAAAGGTTGGGGAGATCATCTGAGCATCAGTTCTGATAATGCCCTGTTTGTCACAGGCCACATTTCCCTCTGCACTGTCATTTATGTCTGAATCTTCCAGAAAATGCATGAAGTGTGGATTTAAATACAGCAAAGGGAGATATTTCCCATAACCACTGGCAATTTATTGCAAAGTCTAGCTATTCTAGTAAGAGTTTTGTTATTAAATCAAGGTACCAAACAATGCCTTATTTCTAACTTGACAGAAAGGCTTTGACACTGTAACCAAGATAGCTTTCTCCTTTTTTTTGAAACTTGACATGTCAAGCTCTTACTAAATTTCTCTCCATGATGCACTTCATCCAGCCCTTGGAAGCTTGGGGGTTGTTTTGGTTTGGTTCTCTTTCCAATACCTCCTCTCCAGTTGCTGTTTGTTAGTTTATTATCCTATTTAGAAAAGAGGAAGCAGAATCATATGTGGGTATCAGCATCAATGAGAAGGAGATCACCTTCCTGTTGCTGCCCTTACATTATTGATCCTCTTTCTACCTCACAACGTTGGAACTCATGCTTGTCATTTCTCTATTAAGCCTTTAAACCTCCTGAATACACAGCATCTCTTGGTGCCATCAGAGCTTTTCTTTTCACTGTCTCAAGCTCCATTTTCTTTGAGTGAATGGGACTCAGCTTAAGAAGTAAATGAGATTGTTTGGGAGGACTATGCTGCTATCTTTTCCCTTTCCAAGATTCTTTCTAGCATTTGTAAATTTATAAAAGTTAATTTATGAGTACTTACATGTCATAGATTAAAATATTTAATTGCTTGGGTCCTATTCTGATCACAGAGGAAATCCACTAGAAACAGACTGAGTGATGATTTCCTATTGTCAGCTTCTGAAGAAGATCTTTATTTTGGCAGCTCTAACTCCTCCTAAATCAATATCCTTTATATAGTAATTAATGATGAATTATATAGCATTAATTAAAATCAGAATAATGTGATATTATCACAAATATTTTAGTAAAGGTTAAAAAAATTACCTTTGCACAGATACATTTGCTGGTTAAATGTCTAATGTTGTGAATCATGAAAGTAGGTTTCTTACATTGTTTTTCTTAAAACTCTATCAGTTATCAATCGTTACATTTGACATTTTTTCTTCTCTGAAATTCGTGTGGTTTTTTTCACTGTTTTCATTGTAACTGTAGTCAATATTTTCCTGGTCAATCCACTTCTCATTTTTAAACATGACTGTAACACTAGCACACATTTGAACTTGCCCAGACAATTTGAAATTTATTAGAAAATTAGTTCTATAAGCCAATGAGTTCCTTAAAAAATTATTATGTCTCCTAGGCACAATTTCTCACAGAGCAGTGTTTATTAATATTGCCTAAATACTCCACAGTACTTTCTTGTACCATGGGATACAAATGAGAAATCCATAAACTTGAGTCTGCATCATGGACGGGAATCGGGAGGTTGGCCAGCTAGATGCCAGTGTGGGGAATGAGACTAAGGAGCTGTTTTTTGTTGGTTTGTGTATTTGTTTTATATCTGAGGTTGACTTTCTGTGGAGTTTCATGGAAAGAATGCAGAAGCCTAGAGATATTTTAAACTGTCTTGCACTATTTTTGAGTAAGTCAGAGAACCCTTTAATAGCTCAAAATTCAAGGGAAAGGCTCTGTGTATCTAAACCAGAGCCTCCAGTAAAGTATCAGCTTCTGTGGCTGTTAAGGTCTTTTCTAGAGCTGCACCGGTCCCAATGTCTAAGTGGTGGATTCCAGTACTCATGTTTATTCCAATCCTGCACTTCGTGACAATGTTTAAGGATCATCCATGGCCTGCTTCTTAAAAAAAATAGAGGGTTGGGATGACAAAATATATATCAAGCATTTTAGCTGGCTGGGATTTGTGAAGTGCCAGGATTTCAGAATACCCAACTGGAGTAACTAGTCTGGGCTTTCTAGCAGTTCTGAGAAAATAATCTTGTCATGATGGGGTTTGCAGAGGAAATACCAAATACTTCATTGAAAGACATTTGGCCTTCTAGCCCCGGGAATTGACTGTAGCTCCAGATCACAGAACATAGGCCTGGTTGGGAAGTTCCCTGTCCTTATGAAATCTCATCAAGTTTGCCTGGGTTTCAGTGGTTTGCGTTTTTTTCTGGTTTTCCATGAAAATGAGGTTTCAACAGGCATGCTCCCTCAGCCTCCCCTTACAGTCCTGATCCAACCTGGCCAAATCTTTCTGGTGCATTGACCAATTTCATACCTAGTCCTGGTAGTCCATAGTTTCATAAATACTAGGGGCTATATAAAGGAGAGTGACCCAAATTATCTCATTTTCCCTTCACTCCTCCATTGAGGGCGACTACCATTGTATCTGGTGGTAGCATGAAGCCCAGCAATCCACATGTGTTTTGCATGTGCTGTTCCTGTGGAGTTCCTGGGGAGAAAGAAGAAGTGGAGGAAAATAGAATGCAGATTATTTCTTCTGGGAGGTGGGATTTAGGAGAGAAAATTACATGGCTCTTGAAAAAAAGCAGATTTCCTTCACCCTCTTTCTCACAAAATAAATTCATTAAACTGGTGTTAAGGAGTGACCCTGTGTCACATTAGTCTTCAGTGAGCTGAGGAAGGGCTTTTGAGCAGGTAGAAAACTCCTGCAGAAGCTAAAGTAAATTCTGCATTGTTCCAGTCCCTTAATGATTCACTTATTCTTACAGGCCAGGTTCCTTTCCTGCAATAAAGTGGCCAGAGGTCTCCTTCACATGTATATGTCTTTGTTCCATAGTTCATGGGTTTTGGATTAGCATCTTTAGGTTTCAATGTGCAATCTGTTCTAATAATGTTACATAGATTTATATAAATTCTTAGACTGGAAGTTATCTTTGGCTTGCTCTCCAAATGTCTCTTTAAACAGCAGAGACATGTGAATTTATATTTGCTAGATGCCTGCGAGAATACTTTTCTACTGTCTCTCCTCCATTTGGAATGGGGCTGCAGCTCGTGACATTTTTGGCTTCAGCCTGACTCATGGAAAAGCGTTGCCTCAGGGATAGCACGTGGATTTTCTTTTCACCCTGTGGTTGGCTGAGCGCAGCCCATGTGAGTGAGGGGTCAGTGCTCCTCTTCTGAGACAGTTTTCACATAATTTCTCAGGGGAAAATAGTCATTATTTAGAGCTGCTTGATTTTGTGGAGGATGATAAAGAGGGGAGAAAAAAAGCTTCTTCTAACGGATGTGTGGTTTTGGCAAACCAAATTTGTTGGAAACCATTTTAATGTTTTTTATAAGATTTTTCTTGAATAATGACATCCATATTTAAAATGAGAGAAAAATCTGAATGACAATAGCATAATTGCCATGTCCAAATGGAGTTCATCTCCAAAGAGAGCCAGTAAACTCCCAAAGTTCTTCAGATGGAGAGGAGTTCTTTTGCAGGTCCTTTTCATGGACCAGTGTCACCTGTGCCTGTGCCATCTCCCACATCACAGGGGATACATTTGATGGGGAGCCTGACGTTGAGCACTTTGGGAGGCTTCCAGTTACCACAGAGAGAAAGATGCTGGGAAATTTCCTTACATCTCAGGAAACAGGGTAAACATCTGAAAAACAAATCCATCTCTTCAGTTCTTTAATTAGGAATGACTGTGAGAAAGGCAAACAGAGGAAAGGTGAAGGTTTTACTGCAGCTGAGGTTAAGTGGAAGGTGGAGGTGTTCAGGAGAGGCCAACAGCAATGGACAGAAGGGCACAAGGCCTCAGGCTGTCTTTAGAGGACAGACCCAGCTTTCCAATGAAGAAGGAGAAAGCAAGCCCACACTTCAACTTCACTTAATGAGGGATATTTGGAAGGGGAAAGTGTGGAGCATTTTAATTGGGGTTCACCCTGGGGAGGAAAGTACTTCATTGTTCCACGCAATGCAAGTGAAAGTAAGGGACAAGGTTCTTCTTCCTCATCCCTCATCTACTGGGAACAACTTCTATTTTGGTTCACAGAGTTTTAATTTTTAAGAGGAAATGTATTTCCCTTGGGTCATACCAAGCTTCCCTTGGTAAATAACAAGCTTATGTCGCATCCTGTGTCTGCAAACCCTATTAAGTCAAATTTTATGGTTTTGTTTGTAAAGAAATGAATTTGTTGCAGTGATAAATTTGATTGCCACTAATATATTGGACTTTCTAATGAATGTTTTACAGGCGGTTATTCATTAGGCAATTCAAGCAAAAAGAAAATGTCTTTCATTTCCATTTTTAAACTTAGGCACTAAGCTGAAGTTCTGCTCTTACACACGTGAATGCTCAAGGGAGTTCTAAAGACAAGACTGAATCAAAACTTTGATAATGGGCACTGGACAGTGCCCATTTACTCTTACTTACAGTTCTACACTATGAGCACTTCTGGAAAAAAGCCACCCAAGTGAGGACTTCTGATCTCTGCTGCGAGACAAGAAGAGCAGCAGAGGTGCTGCTCTGGGTCTTCTCTGCCTTTAGCAACCAGTTCAGAGCTGCAGGAACAACTTGGAGTATCCTAGGGAAAAGCAACAAGATTCAATTTTTGATTTATTTACCATTAATAAGGCTCCAATAAGGTTCAGTTTTTAAGGACAACTTTTTCTAGCGGAGATCACCTGTAGTGAAGGACTGGCTCATTTGTCACCTTCTGCTCCTTGCTAGCACTAAGGTTTTTGTGAGCTGCAGCCTAACATGCATTTGATCTCTCCCTCCTCTGTACAGGGACACTCTGCTCACTGACCATTGAGAAGGCCATGCCTGAAGATGGGGGCGAGTACAAGTGCATAGCTGAGAACCCAGCAGGGAAAGCTGAATGTGCTTGCAAAGTGGTGGTAGAAGGTGAGTACTGTGCTGGGTACAAGAAAACTCTTCCTTAGAACTTCCTCCTTTCCAGCTTATTTCCCAAGAATGACCTTTAGGAGCTACTTACACAAAAAGAACTCTACCCCCTTCCCTTCTGCACTTTTTGGCCAATAAGTAATTCAATATCTACCATAAAGGAGCATGAGCAAAGAGACAGGACACAACCAAGGCCTCTGGGTGCTTTGTGGAATAATCTGTACTCTTCTGCTGCCCACTGTATTTCTAGAAGGTTTTTAGAGCAGTAAAGTGAACTTGTTAAGATTTGTTTCTGAGCTGTGTGCATCCTTTGAGAGCCAGTGAGAATTGCCTGTGTGAGTCTGGGTGTCAGTCTGCCTCAGGACTGTGTGTGGCACATTTCTCACTCTACAACTCCCCAGTTCTTTGCATTCACAGATGTTTGGTTGTTTGATTTTCTAGTGTAAGTGAGAAAAGATAAATTAGCAGCTCAACCACCCATGTGTTCCATAGTCTTAGAACATGGACAGTTTACAGGCTGAGGTACTTGTTTTCAGCCATGGTCGTGCTGATGACACTGTACTCTTGTTAATTAGTCTTGGCCTTGGGCAAGGCCTAGGTGATGCTGTGTGACACAGACTTATGAAGCTGCCATGGAGTTTAAATTATTTAAGGGGCTTTAAGTAAGCAAATGTCCTTCTTATCAACTCACTTCTGGTGAGCTTATTTTTGAATACTCTGATACTTTCCATTGTGATCTAAAATGAACACAAGACTAGACAACAGGCCTAGTAACAGAACTTGGGTACTGAACCTTCACTGCTCTGTGGCAGATGTGGTATTTGTGGTAGGAGGTCTAGAAAAGAATACTATTAATTTTTCCTAATGTTACATGACACAAGGTAAGAATGTGATTCTGTAATTCCTCACTAAAGGTAAGTCTTCATGGAACTGGAAAAGAAATTTATTAAATATTGATTACAATTAAATATACCTGCATCTTCTGTGATACTATGGTCACAGTGTAATCTGTCTTAGATATTTGATAAGCTATTTTTATGGTTCTGTAATTTAAAGTAATAAATTTTGTCAGTGCTGAAGTTCAAATAGTTGGCTTTAAGCAGAATCTAGTCCCTGAAACACCTTAACCACCTCAGATCCAGGATATTGAAGGATCAGGTCATCAAAAGCTTAGCATACAGTATTTCTCTAGATCTGCCTTGGCAACTTTTAAATGTCTCAGTCACTAAAGTGTTTTTCCTCTGTCTTCTGATCTCCTTCAAGTAGTTGCTTTTCTTCCTGAAGCTGCCCTTAGCCTATTTCCCACTTCAAGTTTCCTGCTGGACTATGCGTGCTCTGGGAGGCTGCAGGTAGAGTTTGGCTTGCAAAGTTTTGTTCCTGGGAGGCTGTGAGCTCCTGCCTGATGTGTGAATGACATTACCTCAGCTCTCTGGCTTCCTGTGGTGGTGGCACCACGGCTGTAGGTGCTCACTGCTCACACCATGCTGGGCACCAGGATGACCACATTCCTTACCTCAATACTGGCTGCCTCCTCTGCCTTTTTCATCTGGCATGCTACTGAGAAGAGGTTTTTGACAAATGGCTCCATAGCAAACTCCAGCTATTTAGGAAAGACGCCATTTGATATCCCATGTCTGAGACTGGCAGAGGGGATGACTGTTATTTTTAAATTAGAATTGTGATCTAAAACGAGAGTTCAGATTTCTCCCTTCTTCAGTCCACTGTCAGGATCCCAGATGCTGATTTTTAGACTAAGTAACCATAATCATTATATTTCTTTTGACATTGGGGACTCAAGATTGGAGTTTGACTTCACTTGGCAGATCTGTAGAATCTGAGTGTCTGAACTCTCAGAACACAGCCTCCTGCTCTGAATTATTTACTGGGAGATTCTTGCTTCCTCTTTCCTCCTTAGATGAATTTTCACACACTGGTACCTAGAAGAAGGTGACTAAAGTAGCTGTTTCCATAACATTTATGTCATCTTTTTCTCTGGTAGCTAACAGCTCTCTCCTTCACAAATGCTCTGAAAGCTAAATATTTGAAAGCTGTAAAGTGATACAGCCATTGCTGAGATCATAATCTATAATCATACTCTTTCTTCCAAAGATAAATGTCAGTATCAAACAATGTAGCAAGCAGAGCTTGTTAGGATTTGCATTTTAGGTCATAGAATCCTAGAATAGTTTGTGTTGGAAGGGACCTTAAAGATCATTTTGTTCCAACCCCTGCCATGGCCGGGGACTTCTTCCCACAGATCAGGTTGCTCAAAGCCCCATCCAGCCTGGGGGTCTTGAACATCCCTAGGGATGGGAAGTCCACAACCTCTTCAGGCAGCCTGTGCCACTGCCTCATGACCCTCACGAGAAGAATTTATTCCTAATATCTAATCTAAACTTTGCCTCCTTCAGCTTGAAGCCATTCCTGCTTGATGTGGCACTACAGATCCTTGTGAAAAGTCCCTCCCCAGCTCTCTTGGAGCAAGGGGCTCTAAGGTCTCCCCAAGGCCCTTTTTTCTTCAGGCTGAACTGCCCCAGCTCTCTCAGCCTGTCTTCATAGCAGAGGTGCTCCAGCACTGTGATCATGCTCAACTTGGAATAACTTTAAAAAAAAGTTGCACCTTTTATTTATATCTCATGTGGGATGCACATGGAAGGGAGCTTTATTGACTCCTAGCTGTTGGTGTAGCCTGCAGTGATGAGCAGTTTCTGGATAAGAACTGTGCAATTGTGAAAATAGTAGAATCCATCAAATTTCAGTCCTGTGGTGTCCCTTTTGCTGTTTCTATTTAGGAATAAACAAATGGCCAAGAATATCTTCTTGGAAAAAATTTAAACAGATGGAGGAAATATTACTCTTCAAAATGGGTTAATCTGAATTGATCACATAGGTAATGGACAAAGGAATTACTCTACATAATTTCTTTTGAATGAAATAATGTTTCAATACAGCTTTGTGTCACTTTTCTCTGCACTGCCTAGCACAGCTTTGTGCACATTGTATTTGGTCTATCCAGCTAAAATACCTGTCAGTTTAGATGGGACCTCTTGTCTAGCTGCTTACTTGGCTTGGGTTCTTAGTGCAGCTGCTTTTGTAGAGGGTTTTTCCCTCTCTGCTCCCTCTTCTTTCCAGAATATGACAGCAAATCTCCAGCAAATCTGTGCAGAAAATTCTTCTTAAAAGCCTAAAGGACAGCAATTTCCTCTAACTTTGCAGAAAGATCCAAAATAAACCTTTTATTAGACAGCTTTTTCATTATTGATTTTCAAATAGGATTTATATTTTATTATTTGTTTTGATTGCAGATGCCTCAAAGACCTCAAAGCCTACTGAGAAGAAGACCAAGAAGCCTAAGACCACACTTCCCCCAGTGCTGCCAACAGAGAGTAAGTGACTGTGATTTGATTTGCTTTATTTCCAGTGGAAACAAAAGAGTGCTTTGGGATTCTGTGGTCATTCCCTTCTGTTTGCAGACATAGGATCAGAAGCCTGTGCTGTTTCTTTAGCCCTTGCACTTAAGTCATGTGAAATGAGTTTTTGCCTTGTGGGGATTAGAAGTAAGAGCCCAAACTGCGAGTTCAGACCTCGCCCCTCTACTCTCTGTTTTTCATAATGGTGCAATAAACTTGTGACACAGATTTATTTTTGGCTGCCTCTCAAAGAGCACGGAAATACTCGAGTAGTTTGCTTCAGTTTGTGCTGTGTCCTGTGTAGACAATATGAAGTTTTACTATTGGTAAGCAAAGCATCTTGACTGAAGTGCCCTGTAGAACAATCTGTCCTTTTTTGGCAATACCATGGAGAGTGGTTTTGCAAATTTTGCATTCTTTGTTTTAAGCCTAAATGCTTAACTTGCTTCTGATGCTTTCAGAAATAAGAAATTAGCTATAAATTCCCATGTTTGCTACTCAGCATACATGCATTTGGTTAAGAGGAAACTTTCAATGGTAAAGGCAGCACAATAATATCAGTTCAATTCCTAACAGCAGTACTATGTATGAAATTAAGGAATACAAATATCTCTTAAATCAAAACAATTTTCAATTTGAAAATTGTTTATCTATGATGTCCACCACATGAGTTCCTGAAAAGATGTAAAGATGTGGTTTAATGGAAACATGAAATATTTTATCCAGCTCTCTCAAAAAATAAAAAACATGTAAACTCCATTCTGGTCATCCAGCAAGAACATTTTTAGCTGCTTTCAGCAGGACTCAGAGCAGTTTTATAGTGATTGATGATCACAGGTAATAACTGTGCTTCTGGAAATGTGACTCAGGTAAAACTATGCCCTGGGCTACAGCTATTTCTGAGTTGCTGGCTGAGCATTGTAACTCTCTCCAGCTTCCCTTTGGAGATGTGGGAAGACTCACACTGACATGCTCCACCTCTGCACCTGAGCTTCAAGTGCCATAAATAACAACAATTAAGAGCAATTATTTTGTTATTGAACATAGATAGAAAATAAAATTTTAAAGCCATTTAAATCTCCACAGAACAGTGTTTTGAATTGTGTTTTCTATGCACACAACACACACATTTCCTCTGATCCTCCCAGCAGTGTTATCAATTGCAGCTTTCCCAGGAGAAAGTGTGAGTTGGGAACTAAGTCTAAATATGGAGATATATGACCTGATCCACATCTTGCTTCTCCTGCTTCTGGTTTTAGTGGAAATTAAAATAGATAGCAAAACAAAAGCTACCATCTCAGGCTGCAGAAATATTTGGGAAAAGAAGGTTGAAATAATGGGGAATGGTTTTTCTACATAGCATATTTCACTGTTTCAAGTTCTTGAACTTCTCATAAGCTCTTTTTTTCCAAAATATCTTTAACACGTCATTTAGACATCAAGGTAACCAGAGAGAATGTTAGGAAACTGGGCTTTGAAAGAGTTTTTGGAAAAGCTTTGAAAAATACATATTTAATTTTAAAAGGATTCGGCTGCAGAGATTTCACAGGTGTTTTTTTTAACATCTGAGTCTCTGAGGAATGTGAGTATTTGGTCTGAAATAAGTTTTTATTTGTGTATTTGTCAGGGGCAAAATATACAAAACAGATCCAGTGGAACTACATAGTTCCAGTCTACACTGAAATTCTTATCAGATACAGAGACTGTAAAGTTCCTTACCCGAGAGAGAACAGGCTTTACAAGTCAGATGTTTGTCTGTCTTTGCTGTATATCTCTTGAAAAGAAGGGTAATAGAGAATAACTGTGAATTAAAGTGTCTCAGTCTAATAAGGAGATACGTTTTTACTCTGATCTTTTCTGGTCTTTTTTTACCACAACTGGTTACCAACAGTCCTAAGGGCAAGTAGAGTATACAGATTGTTATTGAAGAAAGAGAGAACAAAAATTCCTAATAATGTGATTAGAATTATTAATGAATAGATTCTGAATTTTGAGTAGTGAATTCAGTCACAGCAGTGTATACTCTACAGGATAGAGAAATGATATATTCTCTGTATTTTTTAGGGAAAAATACAGGGAAAAGATATCTATTTTTAGATTTTTAGGGAAAAGATCTCTATTTTCCACATTCTGTAAAGAAGTGCAAGTCAAATTTCATGGTTAGCAGCTATGTCATCCTTTTCTCCCTTCAGATAAATTACAAGTGACCTTGGTTTTTTGTCCTAGTAGAAACTTTCAGGAAAGTAATTAACTTTAGGTTCCTGAAAGCAAAGATCAATACATTTCTTTTTGTGGAAAAGAGTGTATGTTGTCAGTATGTTAATCTGTAGAATTTGTCTCACTGTGAGCTGCTGACTCAGGTCATTTGGCTGCTCATTCTGACAATGTTATTTAATTACTGGAAGTGTGGGGTTTGTAAGCTACAGAAAACCAATTGTAAGCAGAATTTGGGCCATTGCTTGCTTTGATATGCAATACATACTGGATTCTGGTGTAGAAAAAGAAGAACATCTTGAAGGAATCTGTGTGTCACTCTATGATTAACAACATCTCTGAATGGATGCTTGCAGTGTTTACTGCAGAAAGATTGCTCCCATGCTGGCAAATTACAAAACTTACAATGTATTTTGTTTTGCTTAGAATTAATATTGTGTCACCAGAATTTAGTAATAATTATACAACCCTCTAAGGATAAATAGAATAAATAATACTGTTTCTGAGAATAAAAACAAGATTCACCTTTGAATCTGGGTGAAATAAAAGGGAGATGAGAGGAAGGGCATCTCTGGAACTGGTTCATTCTTTACTCACTGCACTGATTTGGGCTTTGTCACTTGGGTCTTTGCTCAGTGGATGTCAAATGTTACTGAGTTAGAATAATAGAGTGTTATGTTTCTTCTAAAAGAGGCAGTGGAAAATTGGACCCTTTCAATATTTATCATGCTGCACACTGTGTGCCATGCCAGAACAATCAGTGGGTAGTGATGTAAGGGTCCTCCTGGCTTGACACAGCCCTGTAGCAGAAGCACTAAGCCAAAAATTCTCACCACTTGAACATTTCTCTAGAAAGCTTTGAAACTGCTGTGAAGGGATTTAGGCACCCACTTCCCTTTGAAATCAGAACTTACTTCAAATTAAGCTTAAAGGGAATTGCTTATTTCAATTACCAAAGCCACTTGCAAAATCTTCAGTGCCTATTAAATAAATGTTTTTGTCGCAACAGACTGTGGCAAAATCAAAGTTCTGCTTGAGATTTTTAAGAGTAAATAAAGATTTGAATGTTTACAAATAAATATTCCTTTTTCAAAAAAATACATTACTACTCCACATTTGCAATTATTTTGTTGTCCTTAACGTGTATTAAGCAGAGGACCAAAACAGAAGGAATTAGCCCAATATAAGGCAGATTTGTGTGCAAGTCTAGAACCCAGATTTCTTGATCCTCAGTCTCAGGATTAATTTGCATGCAGCATTGAAGATAGTACAGATTTTTTTAAGTGGCATCACAATAGTTTACATAAAACATGAGCTTTCCAAAAGGACTTTTTTTCCAAAAGCTTTTTTCAAGATTTGCTGATGAAAAAGGAGTATTACAGCAGTTAGATTCTATTTTTTAAACTATGCTATGGCTGAGCTGTGCAACATAACTTTACTATAGTAGGAAGAAACTGTATCCCACTTATTGCTACAGAGAAAAAAAATATTTTAATGCTTTAGAAAATAATGCTCATAAATCTAAGCATTGGATTAAAGTGTTCGGAAAGAAATGCCCAATTTTTTGGAGGGCTAATTCACAGCACTACTTCAGTAAATATTAAGAAATGGCAATTATCACCTGTCACAATCATTGTTATGAAAACCTGACAGGATATCCTGAATTCCCTCATCTGAGTAATACTTTTTAAACCCACTGTTCTCATATACAAACCACATACATTGAAGGGCTGACCCAGCATAGAGTTTGATTGCACAGATGTAAGTTCTTCTACCGAGTTAAAAATAAAGTTACAAGAAAAAAAAAATTTCCTACACACCTGCAAGTTATTTTGAAGTATTTGGTAGCTTACTGATAGAAATCTTTTATATATGCTACTATGTGGAACATGTGATTTTATGTCAAACACCTTTTTAAGTAGCTGTACAATAATACAGCTGTAATACAGGTAGCTATATTCTCTTGCTGATGGTTTTTAATAAATGTCACAACTGAAACAGTCCAGATCAAATCCACCAGAAGGTTTCACTGTCACCTTCCCAGATGTGAATTTTTGACATTATTGGTACTTGAATGAGAGGCTGAGCAGTGACATCTCTGGAACAATTCACCATTAAAGTAAATATGCTAAACGGGACCCCTTATTATATTAATATATTCTTTTCCATAGCAGGGAGTTATTCTTGTCCATACTAGGGAAAATTCTAAGTGTTAATCACCATGGAAAAATTATGAGTCAGTGGCCAAGTGATTGGCATGCAGTTCTGTTATTTACTCTTCAATAACAATCTTGTCAGAGAATCTAAGTCTGCAAGCACCATTTTAAGAAAATGTTATTAAAGCATTAAGCTTGATGTGTCCAATTTAGTTAGTATATAATTAAATCAGTAAACACTTCAAGTTTTCTATCGATTTCTGTTCTATGAAAAAAATATGAAACATGGCTTAGATGAATACGAAATGTTTCAAAATCTTCATTTCATGACAGGTTGTTTTGTCCTACGTGTAAAACTTGCTACTTCCTAAGGGAAGAACTCAATTTCTGAGGAAGTTACTGTTCTGGTCAGAGATGTTCTTTTAATTGCAGAAGTGTGGGCACTGGGTAGCAGTGATCTGTGGCTGCTGACCTCTTTGATGGCTGGGTTGGTCTGAGATGCTCATGAGGGTCAATGAGGCTGTCCAAGCCAGTTCCCTCAGTCCCATTCATTTCCCAGAAGGCTCATGCTGCTCTGCTCCTGGCTGTTTGTGAGGTCCAAGACAT